TTTATGGGGTTTTTGTAATCTTTGGAATACCAGGATTAAAGAGTAATTCCAGCAAATTTTTTTTTAATGTGCTATTTAATGTCTCAATGGGCCATGCTCAATTTGCACATTCTGATACACAAATTCAGGGAAAAGAAAATTCACACAAAACACCATATAGTGAGTTAAACAGCACAATTTTTATGCATCTTTATGAAAAACAAAATTACATTTGGACTGTAGATGAATATGCAGATAATTAGCTTAAAGTTCCTGAATTGAGATGGCAAAATGAATGATCTAAGTGATGGATTTCAGTGTTTAACCCTCCAGAGTCTGGCTCATCACCATAATTCATGATTTCCCATTTTAAATTTGAAGTTCACCATTTAGTACAAGTTGAAGGTAATTTTTACAGTTTTAAACTTTTTCAATTTCCAAGGTATTTCAGTCAAGTAATTAAGATTGGGCATAAATATATTGTTGGATAAAAATATTTTTCAGTAACTGTATGAGATCTGTTTTTTGTTTTTTTGGGGCTTTTTTTGGGGGGGGGGGCACATTGTTTTTGATGTGTGTTACTACAATGATTGATTTAATTATAAAATGATTGATTGCTAGAATGAGGAAGCTTGGGAGAACATTTCTTAAAAAAACACTACATGCAAACATTGTCAGCGGGGTCAGGAGTATTTATCTTTAATAATAAGTTAAACCTCACAGGATTAAGATGGGGGTTCATGCTAGAACTGAAGAATAGTTGTTTGGGGTTTATTTTTTGATAGATCATGGTGGCAACAACTGATAAACCCAAAAACCTAGCTTAAATACATCCCTTAAGAGGCCATGTATATCCTGTTTTCCAAGTATTTTTGGTTAAAAACAACAACAACATTAAAGAGTCTTCTTCTTAGGCAACGTGGGTATCCGTGTTACTCCATTTGGTCTTACTGAACAGCTGAAGTTGTGGCTGGTTCTTATTTCTTTTCGAAACTCTCTGAGTGGGAGCTGGTGTTTTTGACCTCTTCATTGTCGTTGGTTTCTTCCTTCTCATCCTCCTGAGTCCCTGTTATTCCCTGGAAGTCGTAATCGGGGTCAGGGAGCTGCAGAGTGTCTGAGGTTGGACCAGGGGATCTCCTGGACTGGAATCGAGCCAGTCCTTTTCTCCGCCGCCCCAGTCCTTTAGGACTTGGCAGGCTGCGGACCGATGCCTTTGAAGTCTGCCTGGAGAACTGGAGTGAGAACTGACGCCCCCTTGGTTTGGTTGGCTGACGATTATGGCCATTGAAAGTTGTCCACCGAAATTCTTTGGGCCCAAGTTGAGTGGGGGAACAACAGAGAGAGGACGCAGTCCTGGAAATACAAAAAGAAAAAAATATATATATTAATTCTCACCTAAAGGGGAAGTCTAAGATTATAAAATACTGGGGTATAATTATTACATTTTCAAAATCTTTTATCTTAAAATGAAGTTTGATGGCCGAACATGGAGTTGAATATCGTTAAAAAGGACACTGGCTGATCACCTTAGGGTTTCTGAGCCTGGGGCTTCATCAGTGGGGGAAGGATTCAGGCCATTCTGAGGTTTGGTATACGAATCCACATTCTGGCAAACATCGCCACATAATGGAGGGCTGATGACAAGCTGGGGGAAAACAGAAATGGAGCTTTCCGGTGAGGGTGGGTTGCTGTTGACCTCCCTTAAGGTGGACAAAGTTTCCATGGAAGGCTGAGACATGAACAGCGAGGACAGTGGAACATTGATCCCTGGTCCTGCATTGACCCTGGATTTAGAAATGACCAACAGAAAACATAAAAGATCAGATCATTGTAATCTGTGGACAGCTGGATCTTAATAAATAAATTATTAAATAGAAACCTTTGGTACTATCAGTAGGATACCAGTTACACATCTATTCATACTTTAAATATTCTAATACCTGACATCTGGGAAGAAACTGCCAGTTGCATCACTGCTATGTCGTTTGAAGATGGGTCGAGGGGGTCGGAGGTCAGGAGGTTCCTGAACACTAAGCAGACGGCGGACCCGACCCAAAACCTGCAAACATTAAAAATATACTCAGAATCTGAACTTAAAGACTTTATCATTAGTACCTAATGTCAAAGCTTTAAATTTAACAGGTTTCAAATTGTTCTATATTTTTATTCTTCTGCTGTACAATAGTAGCTTTGTATGATTCACAGTTCAAAAATCATTCTTATGTATCATTTACTGGACTTTGATGGAGTCCTTCCGTCCATCTTACTTATCAAACAAGCCATCCCTTTAAGGTCACCATCCCTATAAGCCAACATTTTTCTGGTTGGCTGCCCCTCATAAATTAACATCTTTGACACAACGTGGGTGGGGTTTCTGTGAATCTGATGACCAAAAAAGGAATATCCCTTCTCTGTGACATCAAACAGGTCTGAGTGCAGAAAAAAAATCACCAGCAACAAAGCATTTAGAACAATTCAAAGCCTTAGGGTTTACCACACAGGAGTTACGGTATTTTCTGCACTATAAGACGCACTTAAAATCCTTTAATTTTCTCAAAAATCAACAGTGCGCCTTATAATCCGGTGCGCCATATGTATGACTTCTGGTTGTGCTTACTGACCTCGAACCGATTTTATGTGGTATACGGCGCTCAAAAAATCTGTCAAAATATGTTTTAGTATGACTTTGGTAAGCTAAGAAGCCACACCACTTGATGGATTGTCGGAGCATTATGGCTACCATAGTCAGGAGTCGTGCGGGGTAATCTTGGTCCAAAACGCCGTCCGCTTCAGGTCCAAAACACTGCGGCATCATTGAGCGTTACAAACTGTCTAAATTCTTTCATCTTTAATAAAATTATTAGCGTTGCTGCTTTACCAGGTGTAACAATTAAGTTTAATATCCAGGCACCCATCAAAACAGAATATGTAATGTTCTGACTGAGAGATTTCTGAAAAAATTAAAACGTACAGCTTTGCTATCACTTCCAACAGACCCAAGACAGAAAACTAAACAGCAGTGACTTTTGTAGGTTTACTGAAGTTGGACTAGCTGGTATATAATGATGTGCTCCGTGATAGCTAGCAACACAGCTATGTTAGCATAACATAAACACAATGAAGCTGGGGGATGAATGCTAACTTTTTTCCACTCGATAAAAGTTAACGTGAGGGTTCCCGATGGTTAGGGGCAAATGCAATCGCATGGCAGGATGCTGTGAACGGACCGAACTTCACTCAGGAGAACAACTGAGATAATCCATCTACAGTACGAGGTTGTCATAAATATACTGCAACAATATGGGAACAGAGCACCTGCGAGAGAATTGAACATTAATGAATCAATGCTGGAAGTGGCGCAAGCAAGAAGAATGAGTTGAGTAAAGTTTGTCTTATCAGACTGTTTTGTTTTGCTTAATGCGCCTTTTAATCCGGTGCGCCTTATGAATGAAAACAGACAGGTTCATCGACAGTGCGCCTTATGGTCCGAAAAATACGGTGCTTGTACATTGGCCTTCCTATTAAAAGGTTGGTTTAATATGAACATCCAACACTGGAATAGGACATATATGGCAAAAAAACCAAGGAAAAGTATAACAAATCCAAAGAAAGGCTTAAGTTAAGGCCTCACGATTAAACTGTTTAACAAATAATATCTCTCAAGGTCAACACCCTTATTTACATTTTCATAAGTACTTATTTTTCTGCTCTCTGCAGTTTTTATACTTACCTCCTTTTTTCCAGAAATCCATTTTAAATTAAAAAATGAAAGCAATAAACATTTTACCGACTCTTGGCGCCGCGGCAAAGTATAGTCCTGTTGCCGCTGATGGTTGTGGCTAACATCAGTGTCGTCAAACTGCAGGATGTCCGAGAGACTGGAAGAGACATTGAAAAAGAATTTGTCATGCTGATAAAACTTCTCTAAAAAAACGAATTCTATAACAACTAGCACTTCTGTGACAATACACCCACACAGACTGAGCTACAATGTGAAACATAAACTCCAACACGTCCTTCAGGAAAAATGTTTGTTCTCTACAGGATTATAACTGTGCATCAGCCGCTAAACTTGATCCCTGACCCCATGTCAGTGGTGGAGCCAAGAAATGAGGGGATGCAGTAGTCTGCAGCAGCCAGCGTGTATGGTGGCCGTGCATCGCAGTCATTCCAGTAAATGTCTTTGGTCATGTGAGGCATGTTCATGTGCATCTCATCCACTGCCAGGAGAGACACCTGCAGGAACAGGTAAAGAGGAAGGATGAGGCGTGTTCAGTTTTCAAGAGACATTATTTATAAAAATTAATTAAGTAAGATTAAATAGGTAAGAAAATCTACCAATAATTTAACAGGAGAATCTTTCATAGTCAAATCTAATCCGGTTGATTGATTGTGCTTCTTGGAAGAATGGATATTATTATACAACTATAAGAAGGAAGAAAACTGCCTAAATCACAACTGAAAAGAGTTCAGCAATATTTTTAATTATTTTTTATACTTAAAGGAAGTAAGGAATTTATAAAAGATGACACAATATGTTGTATTAAATATCACATTTGCTTTTCTTGTTAGTTTATTTTCTAACCTTGTTGTTGTTTCTGATTTATTTTGTCACATTTATTTATTCATTTATTTACTGCTTTCATTTTCTTCTTATTTACCAACTTGTTCAATGTTAGTTTATTTCTTTATTTCTGTTTATTTCTTTATTTTCCCATTGTATTTCTCCAATAATTCACAGATTTTAAATGACTGATTTATTTATTTTTTGTTATTATTATCTTATTTTTTTCTGCATTTTCTCTTTTTATCTGTGTAAACAAGGGTGTGATTTAAAGTATAATATGGGCTAAATGTTTAGCCAGAATGAAAAATAAAACAGATTATGGAAACAACAACTTTGACCAAAATCAATCAATAAATGGCAAATTAAATGGTCAGTAAATCAACAGGATGTAATACAAAGAAAAATGAATATAGAAGCTCACTGAATGAGAAACATCAAATGTCACATTTTAGGAATCAACTGATGTCCATATATATTTTTTTCTATTATTTTGGTGTCTGTAATGGCATTCTTCATTTGAGTAATTTAGTAATTTATTCATGAATGAGTGAATTGGGTAGTTTTGGTCTTTTATATGTTTTTGTGATTTCATATTTGCAAATATATAGTCGTAGTTCTAGTTCTAGCATGCTAATAAAAGTTTGAATTATTTATTCAGAATATTAACTCTTACACAAAACAATGGAAATGTAAAAACTATTTCATTTTGATTTCTATTTTTTTATAAATAAAAAAATCCATGTTGTAAGCTTTGTCATTATGATTTATTTAGTGCAGATTGATGTGGAAATTCATTTAGAGTGAAATGAAACAGAGTAAAAAGTAAAAGTTTACTCTAAAACTTGCTTTTGAGTAGCTTGTGTTTAAATTGTGTGTAGCTGGGCTTCATGTGGCATCATGTGCTTAACTTCCTTGCGTGATGTAAAAATAAAACGAAGTGTGGAAATGTTCCAGAGTATATTTTTGTCCAGCAGGAGAAACGTGTAGGCAGCTCTTTTCCATCTATTCCGTTCTGCTCCCTGACAAACCACAACAGTTTCTCATGTTCCCTTTCTGTCCACGATAAAGTCAAAAGTGTTGGTTCTACCAGAACAGACCCTGAAAATATAAGAGACTTTGAGCCTCCGTCATTGCTAACCTGAAGGTTCCTGTCGATGATCCAGTTTGCTTCAAAGTCATCGTCATCATCGCCAAACGGGTTGATCAGCTGCTCTGCTACCTGCCAAACAAACAAACAAACAAACATGTCTGAAAATCAGTCAAACTAAAAACACAAAACTGCCTATATGTAAAAAAAAAAAAATTACTACTGCTCCTGACAATCGAGATGGTCGTTGTCACTGCTCTGTAGGTTTCCTCGTCTCTGTTTAAGGGATTTTTCAAGATTGCTTGCATTATACTGATACCAGTATATGTATCTCTAATTTCTACAAAATATTGTTTTTGAGAGGATGAAGCAGCTTTAGTTTCTTTTAACATGACACTGAGAACAAAACATTTATAAACCACACCATTTCTGGCTCTTCTCCACCAAGTAGATTATTATTAACTTTGTGTTATTTATATAACAGAAATACGTCATGAGATGAAAGAGGTCAGCCACAAATGTACTGATGTCTTTCAAGCAGAAGAAAAACAAGATAGGCACATAATTTCCTGCATTACATATTACATGTAAAACACGTATGCAGATAAATAGCTATAACACTAACATGTGTTATTAAATAATTAATCTGAAATATCTCATATAAACTTGGTCTTATTTCCCAATCTGCATCCTCCTTCTGCTTTTATTAATTGTACTCCTTCCATTAAAAATACATTTTGTTTGTGTTTGTCTACATTTGAGTTCCAATTTTGTACTGAAGCATAAGAACTGTGTGTGTTTTTGGCCTATTACTGCCTATCTTATTTCTGCATTTAGTACTAGATAAATAAGTACTTGAATTTTTGAATATGCAGTCATGTAGATTACATACATTAGCATATGTTACTCTGTCTCTGTAAAACCGTAGGACACATCTTCCATGAAAAATATCTGTATAAATATATTTTGTTGTATAGCAAACTTGAGGAATAAAGAAGTCCAAAACTAAATTTTACTTTTTAAAGTATTGCCAGAACAGCACAAAAGCCCCTCTGCAGGCTTCCAGACAGGAACCAATCAGACAAAAGTGGGCTTTCACAGAGGTGTGACTTAATGAGACATGAGACACCTGGCTTGATGTCATGTTTCTTGTTTTGCTTGAATTATGAGTCATGCAAAGCTACTCTGGTGGAGTCTCTGACTAAAAATATAAATTCACAAGTTTGTTTTACATATTCACAAATTGTAGGAAAGAATTTATTTGACCTTAAGCCAGCCACAGTAGAAGAAGAACTGCAGCAAGGTGAAAACGGGGATGTACAGGTCAAGGTCATGACCTTGGTAACCACGGGTGTGGTCAAGAAACTGTCGACCAATTAGACAAGCAAAGAAAAAGGTGTAGACAGCAAGAGTGACAACCTAAAAGGAGAGAGAGATTGAGAGTGTTGTTCAGATTCCTTCTTCTCTCTGTGGGCGATTCAGAGCTCTGATTCAGTTAGTGTAATGATTATGATGTGATTACATGAGCTACATCCGTATCAAACATGCTGCTGTGGCAAGTACGAAACAGAGAGGACGGACACAGACCTGTGTATAAACCAGAGGGACACCGACCCAGTTGTAGCCAAAAAGAGTCGCACACCAGGTCCTGAAGCGATTCATTTCCTAACACAGAGAGGAAACAGCAGTCTTTCCCCAGCTGCTAGCAAACTGTGAATTTCTGTAAGTCAATACACTAATTCGAAAAAGAGTCTCATTTGCCCTTCTGGGAAAGCTGAGTGTCACATTACCTACATGTCTCCTTTATGTGGTCACAGGCTAACGGGGGTTTTAGGATCTAAACTGGCTCCAAAGGATGAATGAGTGTGGTTTGAGTGCTTAAGAGCTTTTTCCTCTCTAACAGCATATGTCTGTAATCAAATGGCAGCGTTGGAAAAAATATTAAGGTTATCTGATTATACTGATCTTTAATGGCCATACTGTATTGTTTTTTACCATGATGTTATTATGATAATGTAAGATATAAGCATGTAGTTAAATTAATAGTGATACATTATGAGACGTAAGTGGCTGAGCCCTTAAAACCACTGGGAAAGTGTTTACAGAGGTCAGGTCTAATGGCTGGTCTGTTACGCACTTCTACAGGATCAAAAATCTTTTTGCAGCTGTAAACAATATAAAAGATGGACATAGCTTCTGGGTCTGACACCGGTCAACAAGCATTTTGGTACTGGCAGTTTTTCACCTGTGCTGTAGCAGATTTTACTTGCTGATGCCAAATGTAAAAACTGTTTTTGTTTAGCTTGTTGTGTTTTTTAGTTATGAAGTATTGGACAACTTCAATGACTGGGCAGAAACACCAATGCATTTCAGCATTTAAGAAATGTGTTTATTTTCCAGAAAAGTGAAGCCAACATTAAGGAAGGTGTTTTTGTTGGTCGTGAAATCCATGAACTGATGTTTAATGACGTGTTCAAAACGAAACCGAAGCCTAATGGATCATCACCACGTGAAGCATTCATGTAGCATGTCCAGAATTTTCTTGGCAATCGTGGAGCAGAGAAATTATCCACAGCTGAGCTTGTGGATAACGCACTGAAAGCATAACAGCTAATGAGTGCCAGAATATTAATGAAGATACATGCCTTACATTGTCATCTCAACTTTCTTTCACCAGATCTGGGTGATGTCAGTCTCAAGGCTTCAAAATAGGACTTCCAAAGATAGGATGATGTCATAGAAGCTATGTCCACCCTTAGTCAATTTTGCTTTTTTCCAAACATGAAAAAGATAAAATACCCAGGCTAATATTTTAAGCTTTAGTGTGCCCCAGGGAAGGGATTTGCTAATAAGTGACTAAATTATACTAATGATGATAAACATCTTCATGGCAAAAACAAGAACCTGTGGTGGTGGTAAAGTCACTGCGACGTCGTTCATCTATGCAATTTATTTCTTGTGTTTGAATTTATGCTTACAAAATCATAATAGTGTTGTGAGTTTATGGAGATTATGTTGCTAAGCAATCTCTATGAAGCGAACCACGGCGATGCTAACTGCCCTGTCGGCCAACAACAGTGACACATTATCCCTGCAGCGTTCTCTCGCCATAAAGGTGCATTTTTATAGTCACGTTGAGAATGTTCTGCAGGTCGATGCTGTCTTGGATGCGTCCTTCCTGCCGAGCTTTAGACGCCAGGTTGGAGAACCAGACAACAGGGATCCAGTACTTCAGGTGAGGAGAACGAACGTTCTCAAACACCTTCCTCTCCTCAGGTGTCATGAAACCTACAGATGGGAAAAAAAACATTGTTTAAAAAAAGTCAGTGTTAGATTCATGTTGATAGACTATTTAAATAAAATTATGGATCATATTGTTCCAAAGCAGTTTCAGACATAACGCTTCCATGCAGACAGATGTTTAGGTTTTGTTGACAGAGTATCAGCCCAAAGTGCTTCTTTAATTGGCCAATAACAAGGTAGTCCCTGGAGTGATATCAGGAAGAAATTGAAGTGGCAGGAGCCAAACTCTGACTTTTATATTTCTAGTTAAGACACACTAAAATCACAATGTGCTCATTTTGAAATACAGCTGATAGACACTAAAATACTCAGGCTCTAACCTGCCTCGACCACATGATCCATGGTCGGGAATCGTTTGCAGACAGCCGTGCTGACGGAGCGGAAGATGAGGAGCGACGTGAGGTTAACGTAACGTACCAATGTCCGGCGCAGCAGGCGGCCATATTCGTCTTTACCTTGAACACAGCTGTAGAAAGATAGAAAACAAAAAATGGAGTTCATGATTATCGCCAGCTAACCACACCTTATTATTCTTGTGTATTCAGGCTCGTTTGCACTGAAGTGTTCCCAAATCACTAAACAAGACAAGGTAACTTCTAAATAAGTTAATTATGGATTCTTAGTGGCTACATTTGTCTATCTTTGACGTAAAGTCTGTGAGTTCCTGTCTGTCCCTGTAGAGGGCAGTGTTTTTGTAGTGGGTACTTGTGGCCTGTAGAGGGCACATTAGAGATGTAGACTGTACCTGGAGATGTGGAACATGAGTCTGTCCGGCCAGGGCAGGTTAACAAACTGATTCCACCACCGATTCACCACCAGAGTCACATAAAAACCTAAAACATTTATATTCAGTTAACACATAATAATTTGTAATTGTTGTGATAATGCAACCTATCCAAACAATTGAGCTCTTTTACAGCAGTAAATAAATAATCATGTCGTGCTGACTTACAATGATGTTGCTGCAAGCACATTTAACATGAAGGACACATCGTGAGAGGCTAAGAGTTTGATAGAGATCTTATCAAACTCTTATGATATACTTTAGTATTCAAACACAACACATGTCTGTCAGTCAGCGCTAAGCCCTGTTCTCAGTGGGTAATATTAGCTTGGCGTATCCTGAGATTATTATAATAACACCCTTGTTCTTTGATCCCCTGTAAATCCAACAAACTGTAAAGTGACAGCCAGGTGTTTGTTAAAATCTTAAATCTTAACCACCTGAAATATATGGCAATGACCCAGTGTGCACACATTTACAGGCGTGCATAAAGGACACACAGTGGTACTAAATACTGTCAGTGGACTTGAGCCTCACACACAGTTCACAGTTGTAGCTTGAAAACTTCATGTTGCAATTTGCAAAATACCAGAAGTGTATTTATTTCTTTTTCTGCCACATATCCAGACCTCCGTCCAACATAGTCCAGATATATCCAGACCTCCTCTGAGGTCTTCTCAGCTATCAACAGGTGATATCAGACAGGTGGATGTATGATCTAAATGTCTGCTAGGCTTTACCTCAGCCAAATGAAATTCTTTAATTCTGGACTGTTTGGAGCGCTTTTAATACAATTATCTGACAAATAACATGGCTGGCTGTGAGGTTTAGTTTTGGTGAGTGAGATTTACCTGGATGCTACTTAGCACTAATCATCACCTATCTGTGAGTAACGCACCCACACAGAAAAACAAAAATCTATTGAAACTTGAAAATAAGCAGAGAATCAATGGATGGCATTACCTTGATTATCTCTTATAAAGAGTGTATGTGTCCTCTAAGGACTGATTGGATATATGATGTTTCCTGGTCTATCCAGGGGTTTCCACACAATTTTCCTGCTGGGAAAACCTCCACAATAAAGCCCAGGATGCCCAAACTATGTGAAGTGACTGTTTTCAGTGCAATATTACTCTGAACCTGATTTTCTTGTGAGTCCACACTGTATGTTAGAGACTCTAAGGTCAATTCACTTACTGCAAGGGCATTTTTACAGTTCATTTACTCTGGTCCAAATCAGTTGATGAGTTTGTAAACTTGTTAGTTTCCTCTATTGTCTGATTTCCCACGTAGAAAAATTCAAGTAAACACCACACAAACTAAAATATGTCACTCAAACCACATGGTAGTGTGAAGTCCTCTTATTGGCCATGTGTGCGGAGCGGGAGTGACAAAAACAAAAACAGGAATAAATCACTATTTTCTGGATAATCCTTAAATTCATATTTATCTGGGAAATATTTTGAGCAAAACTGTACTCTGCATACGGCTCCAAGTGTGATTAACATTTTCACATCTGCACAAATGAGTTTAATTTAAACAAAACTAAAGAGCACTCGCTGCAGAACACGACACCTATTTTGTTACATTGTGTTGTTGATGTCATCACAGTCATTTAGGACCATGGGTCATTTTTGTCTGGATACTTTGATAAATTGTCAACTCATGCACATACATCTCCTGTTTTTGGCATTTACTTTAGTTACTGACACTATTTGTCTTTTTATTTTCTGGAAAAACCACATTTTAGGAACTGTCAGGCTTTAATCTTTTTTTAGGTTGACAAACATAGTGAATATGCATCCTGGGGTGCTGTGCGTCCATGAGGGTGGAGATCAGCTACACAAACACTCATCCTGCTTTTAGCCTTTTCTCCTCTTTAATGATCCGATTCCATTAGCAGGCTGCTAATGAGGCAACCAAACACCCCCTCTGTTCAGCTCTCTGCTCACGCAGGAAACACACTTACAGTTATATTTGAGTTTTCATGTGGCTCTTTTTTTTATTAGACTTAATTTTTACATTCAGTTGTTTTTGAACCTCTCCCCATGAGCTGTAATATCCAAACTCAACACATATCCATGAGTCCGCGTTAAGTTCTGTTCTCAGAGGACTATACTATCCAGACTCTTCTTGTTATTAGTATAATAATAACACAGGTCGGCTACGTTCTTCAATCCCCTGAGAATCTTACAAGTCTGTAAGGCATTAGGAATTAAATCTAGGAAGATAATAAAATGTTATGTAATCTCTTCCAGTATCTGAGAATCACTGGTTAAATGATTGTAAAGCCTGTTTTTAAAATATAAATATATTAAGTAAAATATAGCAACTGAATATGTTTACTGTATAATTAAGACTTTTTCATGAATGGACAAGATGAATATCAGATATGTAACTCAACCATTCACCACAATGACGTCTACTTTAGTCTCTACATGGAAGTGTTTCTTTCAGAACAATCGTCCATGTGATGATTCATGTGTTTTACATGTCATCAGTTCAGATAGCAGTAAGCCTTAAGGTTAGGACCTTGTGCAGACAATGGTGACTGTAGCACATGGTACACTCGACTCCAACTAAGTCCCTGAACTGGACTCTGCAACATGTTTGTGGAGAATTTTTACTGCAGTTATGTTTAAAAAAAATTAACAGTTAAAATAATATTAATAATAATGATAATGATAATAATAATAATAATAATAATAATAATAATAATGCAAAACTCTTTTATATAAGGATTTTTCTAAACAATATTATAAAGTGCTTTACAGAAAGCATTTTTAAGAAATTATTAAACACATCTGTCAAAAAGAAAACAACAACAAAAGAGTTGCTCTACCTTCCTGCCCAAAAAATCCACTACAACCACAGCACTAACACACTCACAGTGGCTTTAGATTTCTATGAAGTCTATCTTGTAACGGTCAGACAGAAAGGTCTAACCATAAGGTTAAAAATGGAATTAGCCTGTATGTTTCTTTTAAAAGAAAAATACTAGAACACTATTAAACAGAACCTGGGGACAAGGACGCGTTGTACCTAATCAACAGAAATAAAAATAAGAATGAATTTAAATAAAAGTAAAGCTATGGTTTGTCAGCTAACATACCCAAGACGAAGGTGACGGGGATCTGTTCAGCATATTTGTCACAGTACATGGAAAGTTTCTCAAACAGTCTCTTCTGATCCTCGGAGAGCACAATCCTAGAGGACAGAGGAAACTGCCGTCACTGCCAGCAACTAAGAATCGAACATATGAGAAATTCTTCTGAAGTTACTCTTCAGCCGATCAGAAAGTTTCTGAATGAACTACAATAAGCTGCAGGTCTGTTGGCCAATATGTGCTTCTATTCAGAAATACAAAGTCAGATAAATCTTTTTCTACACAGACATTTTCTGATATACTGTATTAGTTATTTAATATAAAACCTTTAATGAAATTGCAAAGAAGGCTCACATCCTGTTTGCCTGGATTTAAGCTAAATAGTCAAGTTTCATTTGTAGCATATATAAATGATAACTCAGTCATGTTGTTTGTTTTGTACAACAGTTTCATCAAGTTAATTTATTCTGTCATATTATATTTATAGTAGTGAGCTGTTATACTTTATTTAAGATATTTTGCTAAATAATGTGTTCATTGTTTTACCTGCTGCAATAAAGGAATTCTGCAGGTTTGGGGATGTGAAATAGATCTTTTCTTAAATATATATGAAGATAGTATCAAAAAAAAGAGCCGCTGAGACATAGTTTTAGAAAGAGGAGATCGTGTTACTAGGTCCCACTTCCTGTTTTACCCAAGTCTGAGCTTAGCTGTTCTTGTATCAGATTCTACTAATATTTTGTTCTCACAGATTAGATAGCAGGGGAAAAAATGCAGTGGTCCCATGGATCTGTCAAAAAAAATTGTTGAACAATTTAGGGCAACTCATTTAGTGGTTTGTTTTGTATGATTTACGCTTTAAAATAACCCCAGTTCATATGTACTGGTCGCGTGGGCGACTGTGGCTCAGGGGAAGCGTATCTGTAACCGGAAGGTCACTGGTTTGATCCCCGGGCTCTCTGTCCTGGTCGTTGTGTCCTTGGGCAAGACACTTCACCTACCGCCTACTGGTGTTGGCCAGAGGGGCCGATGGGACAATATGGCAGCCTCGCTTCTGTCAGTCTGCCCCAGGGCAGCTGTGGCTACAACCGTAGCTTGCCTTCACCAGTGTGTGAATGTGAGAGTGAATGAACAGTGGCATTGTAAAGCGCTTTGGGTGCCTTGAAAAGCGCTATATAAATCCAATCCATTATTATCTTGATACTAAGGTTATGACAGAGAGCTAAAACTAAAAACCAAAATAAAAGTTTTGGAAAATAAAAACTTCAGAAAGAGCTGAAAGATTCAGACAGAATAAAGCTCATTTAGCTTTTTCACAAACTTTTGCTCACAGAATATCAACATTAATCATTCACAAGATGAAAAAAATGTTTTTGGCTGGCTCATGTTGCTAACCAAAAAGGGGCAGAGCTTATAACCACTAGAGCGAGGATATATTTTGGCTTCACTTTTAGGGACTCATCCGACATTACATCCAGTTTTGAGTTGTATCAGCCACTCTGAACAGTGTAGCAATATTTATTAGTAACTATGTTGAAATTTACAAGAATTTAAAAGAAACACTTGCATGATACACAGCTGTAATACGACACTGTCGCTTCCCTTCCTGTGACTGTGTGTGCGTGTTTGACCTGTATACGATGCTGAGGACGGTGTACAGCAGAGCAAACAGGATGAACTCTCGGTACAGCAGCTTGTAGATGCTCCCCTTCCAGCGCAGCAGCAGCTGGTGAAAACCGAAGAAGGTGGCGTTGGCGACTTTACTGGAATAAGTAACCGTCATCCTGAGACTGAGGAGCAGACTAAGACCTTCATCCAATGGGAGCTAGTGGATAGTCCCACTGGTTTTCTGGTTACAGCCTGGATAATTAACACCACCTTAACATTATGAACATAAATGATCACTTTTGCTATTATTGCTGTATTTTACTCACAGAAAAATGTCGTTGCTTCCTCCTCAGCGGTGCTCTTCATCAGGCTTCTTTCCTGATTTCTTTTTGCCAAATGCCAACCAAACACACACTCTTTCTCTATCTCTTCCTTTCTCTCTCTCCCTCTTTTCTCTTCACCATGATGCTGTCCAGTTGCCCAGTAATGCCAGGCAGACACACACACACACACACACACACACACACACACTATTCAGAGCTATATTGATGAGCCAGAAGGCTAAATGTAGTCATGTTTCAGCTGTGTGTGTGCCAGCGAGGTAAACATGTATAAACAGAAACACTATAAGAGGCAACATGAGGTCATAACGCAGAGTGACAGTGAACAATCAAATAAACATAAATGTTTTAATATGACTGAATAAAATAATAAAGAAAGATTCATTTTAAATCTTTTTTTGAATTTGATTATAAAACATTTAAATATCAAACAGCACTAACTTTATGTTTCTAAAGAGGGTTTCCATTTGCCTCGAGTCAGATGAAATTTGTTTTGTGGCATCTAGTGGACACTAGAGCAACTCAACTAATTCATTTTGAGAAATATGGAGGGCTCATGGTGCCAAAATAACAAATAAAATTTTTTTTTTTTTTTTTTTTAAAAGGGTCCTTTGCAGTATCTTAGCTATTCCTAGGACTGCGCTCTTCTGGACAGAGATCTCAGATGTTGTTCCCGGGGTCTGCTGGAGTTACTCGCCTAGCTTGGGGGCCACTGCATCGAGTACTCAGATTACCACTGGGACCACTGTTGCCTTCACCCTCCACATCTTCTCGAGCTCTTGTGCTCCTTATGCCCTACATTGTCTCAGGGGCATCGCTGCACATCCTATCCTTGGGGTCTTTCCTGGTGTGGTAAACCCCAACCTTTTTCGCTTTTGTGCTCAGAGCGTGTTACTGTGAGGTCATGGTCAGTATCCCTGTGCTGGCTTTCAGTCCAGGTTTTCATTGTGAGAAATGTTTCATCACTCACAAGTGACTTCTTCAGTCTAGGTGCCTGCAGGTTTTCCCAATCTTATAAACAGTACATTTGCATAATGACTGAAACTAGCACTACTGAAGGAACAAAGGGCTTGGAGGTCAGTGGTTGATCAACAATCACTGATGAGACAAAGCACAGCAGGACAGTTGCTCCTTAAGACAAATATTGTTCCTCTTCTTCTCAGAATCCAAACTGGGAGCTGGTTCCACAGACGAGGGGCCTGAAAGCTGAAGGCTCTGCCTCCCAGTCTACTTAGATGGGAGGCAAACACACGAAACTTAGCACTGCCGTTCCTAAACAAAACACCTCTGCTCCAAAACATATTTCAGAAAGCAGTTGCACATCTTTAGACACAGAGAAGGCCTTCGGTAGAGAAAAACAGCACTGTTTGTTCAACGTGTTATGAGTTCATGTCAGGAAAAACATCACAGAGTTCATGTGACATTAAAAAACCAGACTGCAGGAATTTTACAGCAGAAATATTACCAGTGTGAGGCTCTGCCACTGCTGCTGTTCACGCCTTATCAAACCTTATCCACTAACTGTACAGTCGCACTGTCCCTAAAATGTCTGTTTTCTTAGAAGACATAATGATAAATAAATGGTTTTAAAGTGATTTTGTGGATATTTTGTTGACTCCATTTACATATGGGGGGATTTTGACATATTTTTGTCACTGAAGAGGTATGTGCCACCCTACCTAGACCTTAAGCCTTTCCTTTGGAACTCTGATGAAAGAAATTACTCATAGATTGACGTCTACACCCATTTAATAAAGTAAAAAAGTCAATATTTAAAAAATAATTTTGCTACTAAAAGTCAAACAAAGGTTTTGTTGTATATCTTACTTTTCAGTCACAGACTAAAACATCACTGGGCTGGACAGCCGAGGGTTGCATGTTTGTATGTTTTGAACAGATATTCATCAACAGTTCACTCATTTACTAAAGGTTTTTGCTTGTTCTGACTTGAGAGATAAAAACTTGATTTTTTTCAGCTATAAACATTTTCTTATGATTATTCTGACATCACATAAATGCACAATAACCCTGACCATGTTTTGTTAAAAAAGTGACAATTATCAGAGTTTATAGATGGTCACGTGGATCTGGAGTTATTGCAGTTTGTATTTTTCATTAGTTATTATTTTTATGAAGGTTTTTTTTATTCAGTTGACTTTTTATTAGTATATTTACTTTTAGTTTTGTTTTCGTTAGTTTCAGAGTAAGCTTTGAGTTTATATTCAGTGTAATGTGGGGATATTTGTTTAGATTTAGTTCAGATCCCAGTCTTGTAGAAACCTCTGCACAAAGCCTCGTCATGCTTGTTCTACTGAAAAATCAAAGTTAATTCGCTTAGACTGACCTAAAGACCTTTCTCTTGGATCTGAGTTGACCATGGTATCATTGTAATGGATACAGCAGGGGGTTTTGTTCTATATTTATATCTTTTCTATAGTTTCGCTTATTCTCATCCATCCCTCCATGTGGAATATCCCAGGAGTCAAATCTTGGCCTTATTTTATTTTCTATGCTGTTTGGGTCATATACTCTACAAACATGTTCATTTCAGCCATTATGTTGATGTTATGCTATATGGTCCACTATCGCAAATGTCTTCTATGATGTTTGATATATGTATCAAATCTTCCTTCATCACACCGAACTTCTCTAAGAAATTAATCAAGCAGAACATTCAAATATGGAAACAAAATTTTCTGTTCAAAAATGCAATTAAATAACTAATTCAACATCTTAGAAACATAAAATGACTCTGATAATGCCAATACTGGCTGTAGGCTTGCCACCCAGATAGACATTAGAAACAGTACTTAAGCTTTCTGTCTTCATCTTTCTAATGGCTGAACAAAAACATCTTTTTAGAAAAATTTAATAGGTGGATACTTGTTTAAGAGGAATGAGCTAACTTTTATCCATAGTAAGAGCTTTTTTCAATACAAAAAATTAAATAAAAATCCCTTAACATTTGTCACAAGCTAACATAATTGAATTTTAAGTTTTAAATTTAGAAGCAGTTATGCTCCTGTATAAGACCTTGCATAAGACCTTGCATGTAGTTATATATGTGGTGATTTATTCATGCATTTATTCCAGAGGGTTTAATATAATATTATGGAAATGCTTTTAATTTTAGGTCTGCTGAGACACTTGACTGTTTTAAAAAGTGGAGACTGAAATGAACCGATGACTGTCAAAGTAAGATGTTCTAGTCGTGTGAGTTTAAAAGCTGGTGGGGTTCAACAGTTTATTTAACACAGTGTGCAAATACCATTCAGAGTACATTCATCTTAATTATTGATTTTGTGTAAAACATTACAGTGTGGCTGTAGCATAGTGGCACTACGGGAATCCCCCACATGCACCTGCACACATTGTTTCTTTGTTCTGAACCACAGACCACACCCTATCAGCACAATAATCAACTGTATGTGTAAATAACCACCTGCAGTGTCTGAAGAAATGTATCCTCTTTAAGAGCTTTAAAGTCTCTAAAGAATTGAACACTGTAATGATCTGATAGATCTTGAGCCAAATGCATGAAGAGAAAAAGACAAATTTAGCTGGTTGGCCTTTAAAGCACCACACTTTCTTTGTCATCATGCAAACAAAGTAAAATTAGCTGTGGGCTCAAAGTCTAACGAGCTGCTACATAAATGCAGACGCTCACACTGCAGTCATGCTTCCTGCGATGTTGATGCTCAGTTATGAAGAGCCCACCGTTTCTTCTAAGCCACAACATTTCTGGTAAATGTTATAATGCAGCAATGATATCATACTTTTACTTTCATTCATCTCTCACACTACATGACATTGGCTCAAAGCCTGTGGGAAGGCTTTGTCAGGGGCAGATCTCCAGTCAAAGGTCGCTAAACTCTATAAAACAGTGCTGATAAGATTCACTGAGACGCAGCTGCATCTACACAAACTGGACCGAGCTCAGAAACACAAAGGAAAGGTGAGTACGTATTAACTGTGGAACATTTTTGTGTGTGAGTACGCGCATGTGTGTGTGTGTCGGTTACTTTGATTCACTGCAAAGCCGAGTTAGCTCTACCAGGGTTAAAAGGTTTAATAAGGATGACAGTGAATCGTGCAGCTGTGATCAGAGAGTTACAAACACTAATCATGGATTCATGACATTCTGGTCAAATATCCAACTGTATTTAGGCCAGAAATCTGTTGAAGGCAAAAAGTTAAACCCTATATTAATGCGAGTGTATGTCTGTATTTGAGCCTGTCTGTATCTTTTGGACTGTGTGTGGATTAAGTCATCAAGGAGGTATGCTGTGTAATCATCCCAAAACGGAAAAAGAACAGTTCGAGGAAACTGTGAAAAGCCCAAAACTGCCCTGACATTCATGCCCATGATGAGTAGATGTAAACGTCTGACCACAAATATATGCACATATTCCCATATTGCGGTTAAAACACTAAATCTGGGAATTTATTTTCTTAAGAACTGTGCTCATCCCTCCAGAAATACTTGGAGAATAAATGCCAACAAGCACTAAACCTGTTCTTGCAGCACATGATCAACCAGCATGTGGTCTAAGATGCTTTATGTTGGGGTTTCCTTTAATTTATCCATCTTATACACATTGCTTTTTACTTTCATTTAGTTTTCTTGTGAAAAACTCTGTTACCAACTTAAACTTTGAACTTTTGAATGAACTTTCATATTTGTTGCTTTCACATTTGATGTGGTTGAGCTTCCTTTTACTGTCAGTTTTGTCTAGTTGACAAAAGTTTGGTACTCTCCACTCTTTGCTCATCGGTAAAGTCCCTGCTGCCATATTCCTCTGTTCTTATGTGGGGCTTTCAAAAATATTAGTTT